AAACCTAGCCAAAACTTTAAATTAGGTTGTTTGCTACCTGAAATGTTCGTTCGCGAATAAGATCAATATTTATTCGACTATTTCCATTTAAAGCCAATAAAAAAAGTTGTTCGAAAAAGTAGACTTCCTAGTTTGTTTAATAAACAAGCTCGAGTTACTGGTCAAATTTAAATACGAGGACAAGTATTTATAAGTAATAATGTAATATGTATGTATCTTCTGAATAGGCAAGAATTCGTGGCCGGAATTGGTGGGGCGATATGGAGAGCACGCTGAAAAGGTGATAGAGAGTGAAAATAAGAAAGTGGATGCAATTGTTCTAAGAGACGGGACTCCCGTGACTCGAGACTTCAGGTGTGACCGTGTTTGGGTTTGGGTCGATGATCGTGGTGTGGTAGTTCGTCCCCCAACCATCGGTTGATTGAAACTCGATCGGACAATAAATAATATCATGAAATTTGTATTTTATAAGTAAGAGAGAGTACTACTTTGTGGTTTGGTTGAAACTCGGACACATGAGGAATAATATTATGAAATTTATGTTACAAATAAAAGAAAGGTTGTAATTGTTGTTGGTGTTGGGCATGTAATATAAATTTGTGTTGTTGCATTTTTCGAGGTACAATGTATGATTTGTGTCTCATAATAAAATTCTCCCTTTTATTGTTTTCATGGTTGGTTATATATGATCATAAATATTATGTAGATGTAGATTGATAAATAAATAGTAATCTAATTAATGATTATCATTATATATTAATTAACCTATTGTCATCGGTTAAAATCACCATATACAAAAAATGATTACTAAAAAAAATTAAGAATTTGAAATATGTTTTTTATTTTTCTTGAATTTTATTAATAGTTAACTACTTTAATGTGGTAATTGAATTAAATTACTAAATTTAATTCTCATACCTACATGTGAAAAGGAATGTATGCCCTATTAAACCAGATGTTTTAATTTGAACTCCATGATGAATACGGGCCTATAACACAACAAATGAGCTGAGTCAAGCATTGATCATATTAAATTAGGTATTTTTTTTATTGCTTTATTTTTGTTGCTGCTCGAGTTTGAGCTCGACAAGCCAAGCATGTGATGACTCAGCCTGACTAACACAAATGCTCGAGATTAGCTTGATTTTTCTTCAAGTTTGTCTCAAAATTTCAATTAAAAAAAAGTCTATGGTTGAAGGTAATTTAGATAGTTATACATATTCGAACTACTCAGTCGAGCACTTGAGCTTATAAGTTACAGGCTTGAGTTCAACTCGAGTTTGAGTTCAACATGGTCGAGTGGAGCGTAGATTTGAGCGACTGACTAAAATCACAGACCGTTATGTTCGTTTGGAGTCTTTAAATAAAACAGTTTAACAAATTATATACTCCCTCCTATTTTTTTTAAATGTCATTCTAACTTTATCAACTATTTGCTAAATAAATGTCATTTTGGATATTTTGTACATATTTTTCCATTATTACCCTCATTTAGCTAATAAATATAACACGTCTTTTCATAATCACTCTTCATCTTTTTCTCAAAACATTCATCTCTATCTTCATTAAATAAGGTTATTATTGACAAA